TCCCATACCCCTTCCCAAACAAGGGCAACCACATAAAGGTTTCAGTTGTAGAAATAATAGAAGAAAGCGCGTTTATATATTGTTTACAAATTGCTTAGCACATTACTGAAGTACTACATATTGGCACCACACAAGAATAACACACATTTAAGATGTACTATGAACATTTATAATTTGGGAGAGAAAAATGAAGCTGAAGATAGAAACAATATAATCTGTCTCCTGTCTTGGCAAAATGGTTTCCAACAAGGGAGAAAAAAACAAAGCAAAACACAAAAAATAAACCAAACAGGCTTCTCTTTGGGGATGCAACATTCCAAGTGATTTTAACTCATCATTTTGAGGGGTGAAATGACATAGTTTAAAGATAGATTTTTAGGTAACATTGTTTTTGCTTTATTAAACTCAATGGCTCAGAGGGATTCAGGGATTAAAATAAATGCCCTCTTTTTAGGAAGTGTAAAAGCAGGAAGTACAGGGCCTAATTTATGAAACTCAATCTTACTTAGCTTTATTGTTTTAAACTTAAATCTTCAATTACAAATAAATAATTCATACAATATACCTCACTTATGATATACACTTGTCAGGTAGTCCATAGCAATAGCCAAGATTACATTGATTATTTAATACAAACTCATTTTCAATTACAATAATATACAACTGGTCCTTTGACTACATTATCAGTCTGGTCCAATGTGTATGTGGTATGAAGAGGACCTTCCTCTTACCACCATAGAAGACAAAGATGTACACAATGTTATTACAAGCCCAAAGAAACAAACACAACACATTTATTTTTAAAAAAAGGCTGTATCAAGTGGTCTAAGTGGAATTCTACTGCAGAATAAAAGCTTGTGAATTTTAGCAGTATAAAGGGTTAATGCCAAGGATTTTTATCCTTTGTGGCAATTCCTGCATAAATTTACAAGCTTTACAGGATGTTTTATGTATGGCTTGAATTCCATCCATTTTTCCATTCTATTTAGAAAACTGATAGCACATAGGATGTGTTAGCCTTGAAAATTTCAGTTTTCACACTGCTTTTAACTTCAGCTACGTAAAACATTTTACCACTGAGAAGACAGCTTCCCCTTGAGTACAGTCACATTTTTGTAAACTGCATTAGCAGCAGCAGCAGCAAACTTGCAAGGTCACTTCTGACATCTAATCTTTAATTTCCCAACCATTCCCAGAAAAAGAAGTTTTGTTTATATGCAATACAAAACACTTCTGACATCCAGCTTGAAGGGTTAGGATGAAGTCTGGAAGAATTTCTAAAATAATACTTAAATCAAAAAGACACCAGGAGATTCCTCCAAGTGTTTATTTTCCACTCCTGGCTGTGCTTAAGCCACTCAATCATTTTTATAATACAACGCAACTGTCATAACTATGTACATTTTCACATGGGATTAAGTAGCTAATAATTCTTACTCTCTCTTTTTTGATTCAGAATTACAGAAAATCTTCAATTTACAAGATCTTTTTTCCTCAGAAAAAGTTAGGGTCTCAGCAGCCTCTCAGCTGCATTACACTTCCCCATTCTTATCTTGAGAACCTACAAAGCATGAAGGCTAAACTCAACCTTTATTTTGAAAAGTTCATAGTCCTTTTCACTGCTGAAAATATGAACTGCTCCTACTGTGGAAAGTCTATGACCAAGATTTCTTAACATCACAGGTTCTTTGCAATCCATGAATAATGTTACACAAAAGTTTGCTGCGACATGGGGAATCTTTTCCATTAGAATACTGATTTTTTTTTTAAAGTTATGGAGGACGAGAGGACAAACAAGGGCCCCAGACCAGCTCACTGTTGGAGTGACACAACACCAAGGTTTCCATACGCTGCCTGCTAGTTGTTTTTCTGCTGAGCAGCCTATGCATCACACAAGGTGGGAGATGAGGGGACGGATAGGACATCGTAAGAACATGAGAACTGCCATTTACTGGGTCAGACCATAGTTTTATCTTGCCCAGTATCCTGTGTCACACAGCAGCAGACTGAATATGGAAAAGGAGAATGAACAGGATGGAGAGCAAGGTTTCTTCCACTGTTTCTCTCTGCTTGCAACCACCAGCATTTAAGGTGTAATGAGTTTTGATTCAGAGGCTGCACCCCTTAAGTGCCAAGCTCAGTAGCTACTGATGCACCCTTTCCTCCAAGAATGTGTGAAATCCCTGAATCCAGTTAAAACTGTGAGCTTCCACAACACCTCGGAGCAATGAATTCCACACTTTAATTACACTCTGTAATTACATCATACTCCACTGGACTAATATGGAAAAATATGTGACTCCTGCATTTTAGTTTTAATTGTTACATAGACTCCCTTTGTGACCCTGGTCATTTCACACCATCTTTGTTTCAGAGCCTCCTCCTGAGGTGGAGGAGCAACCTGGCAAGGCAAGCCATTTACTTCCTCACCTTTTTAATTAGGGTTATAATACTTACCAAGATGTTTACTAGGTCCACCTGCAGGTCTTTGAGATGGGAAAATAAAATTATTTTTATTGGTTGATACTCCTATCAAGCAAATAAAACATGCTATTTATTCTAAACCAATTCTATACTAAAGAAACAAGAGTAATTTATTTATACCAACTTTAAGTTAATCAGGGTATGGACAAATCAACATTTCAAAAGCTTTAAAAGGGCATGGGAGCTACTGCTTGGAAGCATGCAACAGCCAGATGTAACAATTACATCTGCATGATTCTGCAGCAACACAGGTTAGTTAAATCCACTTAATTTTGACCATGAATGAAGCAGGGTTCAAGCTGGAGTAGTTTTATTGCACTGCTGTTGCCATAGAATCACAAAGGCGTAACAGTGACTCTCAAAGAGCTAGTATCAGTACCCTGCGATGTTAACACAATTGTCAAGTCTGTCCATATCCTCAGAAATGAGAAATGGATTTAAAACCAAATACCATACAAAACACCCCTGAATATAAGATGACTCCCCCCCATAATTAGATTCTAACAACAGAAAATATATACATTTATTCTAAGTTTCCACGTAGGAAATATAATTATTGGAGGATCATCTTAAATTTGTCCTGTCTCACCCCCCATCTCAACTACTGCAGCTGATGGAAGGAAAAGTGATGATGGGGGCAGTAGTGGGAAGCAGAGGGGGGGGCAGTAGTGGGGGCCTTGTGGTAAGGCAGGTGGGCAGGCAGGCAGCTTGCCGCCTGCTACCTGTCCCCCCTACTTATCCCCCATTGTGCCTGCCCTCCCTCCTGCAATCTCAGGTTGCCCCAATTCCCCCTTCCCCACTCTCCATGCCACTTCTGCCACCTGCAGCCTCAGGTCCCTACCCCACTTCCTCCCATCTCCCCACCCTGAAGTCTCTCCCCCTCCTGCCTGCCTCCCAACCTGCTTTGATCTGAGCCAGCAGGCTCCATCCCAATTGCAGCCCATGGCACAGAGCATGGCTCCAGCCCCATAGCAGCAACACAGTCAGCACTGCTGACCCAGCCTGGCCTTGTTACAACAGCAGTGGGGATCCAGCGCTGCTGCAACAGGGCTGGGCTGGAACAGCAGGACCAGCTCCATGCCGTTGCTATGGCGCTGGGCTGGAGCCATGCTCCACGTCCTGGAGCTGCAGCAGGGATGTAGCCTGCCTGTATGGAGCAAAGGTAAGGAGGAGTGCAGCAGTGGGAGAAAGAAAGGGAGAAGCAGTGTGGGGGGAGGAGGTAGAGCTGGGAGACTGGGGGTTGTGAAGGAGTGGCAGGGTGTGCTGAGGTGGTGGGGCACAGGCAGGCAGCAGTTGTGGCCCTGGCTCCAGCCCCAGGGTGGGGCTGGAGCTGTAGCAGCTGCCTGCCCTTCTGTCCCTTCCCTCGCTGCCTTGTGCTTGATTGTAAGGTAAAGGGCTTTTTCCCTTGTGTTAAAAAGGGGTAAAAAACCCCTCATCTTATAATCAAGTAAATATGCTATACAGGGTGGGGAGATGGTATACAGTTAGGCTGCACTCGAACCCTATGGCTGAACTGGAAGAAAAATGAAAACTAACGCTAAAACACCTGTTTATTTTCGCATTTCATCCAAAAGTGAATTTCAGCCCTTTTAACAGCATCAAATATCTTTTACAATCCTTCTGGAATAACCAAATTCAGAATTTTTAGTATGTCCTGTAGAGTGCACAAAGTATATTTAAGATACTGGACTTATTTACTTTACCAATTTTACTACCATGACTTTCTAAACTAACAACCACCCCCCAACATTTACAACATGGAACAACATACAGCCTCTGTCCTTTGCAGTGCAAATTCTATCAGTTAACATTATGCTTTTCAGTGCCATATGCCAGAGCACAAATCCAACATTTTTCTGTATCTAAAAAGTAGTGAGACTCTCTTATGAACTTAACAGCTTACCTCGTCAATCAACTAGGAAAGATCTTTAGATTTTCCTTTGGGTACCTGTCAATCATTTATATTTTAAGATCTGACTCGAGAAAATTCTGAATTGGATAACAATGATCTATCCATCTCATTCTTACAGAAGTATTATTCTGAACCTCTTTTCAATTCTGATGAATTAATCTGACCAATTACAGTAAACTTCACTGAAACAGTTCTTCAGAGCCAACAGCTGGTCAAATTCAGCACGATCTAGTAAGTATTATTTAAAAAGCCACCTTCCGGAGCTAACTTCTGACTCCTTGACAGAAGATACATGTGATACATTCAGCTTTCACCAGCACAGTGAATCAGGACTCCTATAAAACCACAATGGTTAACCAAAAGGAAGTATCAATTTAAATATCATTTCAGAATAGAATTGTTCAAAGTTTGTGTTTTGAATCATCTTCTAAGAACTTCCAAGTTAAAGTTTTACAAATGCCAACAGCAGCAATGGGTGGTTTCAGATGCAATAAGTATTTCAAGGAGCATATACCCTCTAAAATAATAACAACAAATCAATATCAAAACTTACATTTTTTACATTATTATTATTATATTATATATAGCATATAAGAAAGAGAAATCTGCATTTAAACCCCCGTTTTTAATACCTGCACTATCCCAAAGTTTATTGATACCCTTCCACATTCCCCAATGACCAGGACCAGAATGAATGTTCTTTCTAAATATATTAAAAAATAAAAAATACATGTGAAACATGTCTAGAGGCTGTCACTTTAGACATAAATAGCACCCAGAACTCAAGACAAAAAACTTCATGGAACTATTTAAAAACTGAGCATCCTTTAAAAAAAAAAATACCAAGAATTCGGGTGCAACAATTAAACCACCAACCATGTAAAATAAATAGGATTATTACTGACAACATACTCCACGCATCTACCTTCAAAGCAAGAGGTATGCAAAAGAACACGGCATTATTAATTGAATGGGGGATTTTCAATGGTTAGGCAACCAGTGTGAGTTGGGAACCACACTGCCATTTGAGCCTTTAAAAAAAATGTTCCCCCACTCCTCACTACACAAATATGGGCTGCAGCTGGATTGAACCTGACTGATAACAATTTTTCACAAGTGACAAAGCAGGAAACCTGAATTGTGTGTGTAAGGCTGAAGGACAAGATACAATTTTTTCTTAAGTTCTCCTTTCTAAAAGGATATTGTCTAACTCAATTCATTTGACTTAACATTTTACAGAACTTGCTAGCTTTAAACAATATAACTTCTGTACAAAATGGCCTGAAAATAGTTTAAAAGTTCCTATTAGGTTATTCACAGAAGTAGCTCTGCTGTGTTAAATAGCGTATTTTGCATTACTAAAGCCTAAAACAGCAATATCCTGCAGGAGTGTCTACCTTTATACAGTGCTGTGCATTTCAGGTAATAATAAAATAATTTAAGAAGAAACCACCAGGCACATGCATCAAGTGTATTTCACAAGTCAGAATGTCAAACTTTTTTTTTCTTCCCAAATGTATACAAAACAATTGCACATTAACAAATAATCTGGCCTCTGTCCAATGACAATTTGATTCATATGCATTTTCAAATTTACATAATTTCACAACATCAATAACTTCTTATATTTAAATACGTATGTAAAAAAGGCCCCCAGAATAACCGTTTCTTATACAGCCAAGTTATCTTTCTATACATCCAAACTTTGAAAAGTTACAAACAGAACATTATACAGGCTATATAAATCATGTTTAAAAACCTGAAGCTTCAAAAATCATGGTTTCCCAAAAGGATTCAGGAAAACCCACACACTTACAAGGTAGCAGAAAAATGGGCAAAGAGAGAGACAGACACAAGTTTGCTGCCTTAACTTTTTACTAATCCTGCCATCAAATCTTGTGATGCTATCAGACATAACAGTTTAAGCTGCAGATGAGGAAGGGTGTTTGTGTGTGTTGGTCTCAAGTGTTGAGACCAGTGATTCAAGTATTTCCTATTTGATCCAAGCTCACTGTTGCAAAGCTGTACTGGAAAAGATGAGTTAGTTTACACGTTTCTCATACATTCGGTCAATGTCTGCTTGGTAGTGTACTGTAAGCTCTTTGCGTTTTAGTTTGAAGGCATCTGTCACCAGACCAGTCTCAGGGGTCCAAGGATCAGGGCTCAAACGAATTTTTACTGGTATTTCAAATTTCTCCAGATTAGCTGCAGTGATAAAAATGACAAATAAAAAGAGAAGATTTTCAAATGCTTATCATGCTTTGGGGTTTTTGGTAACTGAAATAAAGATGGAAAGGCAAGGATTGTACTCTCCCACAGAACAACTCATGGTGTATGTAGAGCAAGAAATACTCCCTAAATGTTCTGAAGTTTGCCCAGGAAACCTCAGCACTGTCTACCAGTTAAGCCATGGAATTTGTGAGCACTTATACTCTCCATTCATACAGCTTGTTGAAAATATGCCCCATGATCTAGGCCTGTAATGCTTCTCCTTCACATACATACATGCAGAGATCAGGATGGGTCACTCAAAATAAACAGCCATTCCCATGTTCTGACACTTACACTCTGACAATGATAAAGGCAAGGGCCAGTACTCATACACCAGATTTTCTGCTCTCCTTTCTGTATATAGAAAGCTCAAGAACACATTGATTACTGTGGTATCTTCCCTTTCTATAATACCTATCGACACCAGCAGAGCACCAGCCACATACTGCTTATGTAAATGTCAGCAACTTCATATCAAAGAGAGAGAAGTTTGTTACAGTGGCCATGAATAGGCATTAAAGTTCTAGAAATGTTTCCAGGAGATGGGGAGCAGTACAGGTGTTTAGCAGCCTGCAGCTCATCCCTCTCCCCATGCCTTCATGAAGCCAGGGTGATCCTGGTCTGACAACGCTTAGGGAGAAGTGGCTGCTTCACCCCTTCCAGTCCCCAGAGGGAGTACAGCATCAAGAAAATCCTCCCCACACCTTCCTCAGACTGGGGACATCCAGTTTGAAGAATGGGAAAGAGGTACCCTGCCTCATCCATTCTGCTCCCATGTGCTGTCAGCACAGCCTACATATCAAGGGGAGTGAATCATTATAGAAAATTCTGTTTTATGAACAAACTGTACAAAATGAAACATCCTTTGCAAACTGATGTGTATTTTGTTTCAAATACAAATGCTCCATCAGGCAAATAAGAATTACTTAACTACTCACCTCCCCTAGCAGCCTCAGCTAGCACTTTCAGGACCTCTTTTTCTACTTCAGAACTGTTACAGATCTCTTCCCAGGTTCCTTTAAATCCTTTTTTTCGTGCTAATTCTATAAGCTCCTTTTGATTTGGCACAACAAATACAATGACGTAAGAATGGAAACTGAAAAACAGATCACCACAATGGTTATGGTCAGTGTTCCCACTTGACTATTCATGCATTAGTTAGTATCAGATGTGTAGAACTGCTTTAATCAATCTAGCAAATTAATGATCCCAACATCCCTTATATTTTGTAGTTACAGCACATCTTAAGTATTACATTCAACACTTTGAACTTGTAGGGTTAAAAATATATTAAAATATTTACTGAAAAATTGTTAAATATAAAAAATTGCTTCCATGGCAAACTTTGCAATGGATCAATTTTTCATTTTATTGAAATCTTTTACAAAGTTTTTTAATTTTCCCCTCTCTTGACCCTTTCCTTTTTTCCTTCTGTTCTTTCACAATGTACAATTAAATGATGGGTGTCTTGAATTATCCACAAAGCGCCTTGTTTTCTTCTACTATCAATCTTTTTGAAAAAGTTTTGAGAACTTACATTGGGGTGGGAAAAATATGGCACATGGGCTGGATCTGCCCTGCCAACTGACTGGATTTGGCCTGTGCGGGGGCACCCTCAAATTGAGTGGATCCAGTCCACAGCTGCTCCTGCAGCACCCTGCATGGGGCCAAACCCTGCATAGGGCAGCCAGTACTGTGCTCCAGTCAACACCCACTGGCCCAGCCCTGGCCAATGCGCACAGCTCTCAGTGTGACTTCTGCTCAGCTCCCTTCGCCTGCAATGGCAGCTCCTCCTCCTGCTCAGCTCCCTTCGCCCCCAACGGCAGCTCCTCCTCCTGCGATGGCTGTGCCGCTTCAGGCTGGAAGGAAGCTTCAGCCAGGCAGCTCCTGCCCCAGCATGCAGGGTTCCAGCTCCAACTCCTGGCTGCCTTCCACCCATTCTGCCCACCCACTGTGGGTGTCCATGTGGGTGGAAGACAGCCAGGAGCTTCACCTGGGCAACTCCTGCCCCAGCGCATGGGGCTCAAGCTCCAGTTCCTGGCTGCCTTTCACCCACTCAGCAGCCTGCGCCACCTGGGTGAAGTGGGTGGAAGACAGTGGAGAGCTTGGCCAGAGCCCTGTGTGCTGGGGCAGGAGCTGCCCAGCTGAAGCTTTCTCCGGGTCTGGAACAGCGCAGAAGGAACCAATGCTGGAGGCAAGGGAAGCCAAACAGCAGCTGCACCAGGAACAGCCTGCCAGAAGCTGGGCATGCTGGTTGGGGGCAGGCTGGAGATCAGCCCCATGCAGAGCAGGTGTGGGGGCAACCACAGACTGCACCACCTGGGTGACTTCTGATGCATATGCACCCCCCTACCCCCTCCTCCTCTCTCCTCTCACCACTGGCTGGCTCCTGGGACTTGACACTCAGGCAGCACCCCCTGCCCACACACAACTACTCCCACTCCTCACCCCCTAGACAGGGCAGGGGCTGCCCCATGATTCTGGCCTCAGCTGCCCATCTCGCTTCCACTCCTCCCCACCCACCCGCAGCCCCATCCCCAATAGGGGAGTTTTGGTGAACTGTTGCGACAGCGAGTGGGAGGGGGTGCTGACCCTGCCTGCAACAAGTATTCAAAACTTCCTATGTTATACACAGCTGCTCAAATATTAACACATGAAGTATAAATGAAGTATAAATATAGCACACATACCACAGGCACACTTCAAAACTTTCTGAAAATGTTAAAAATATTCCATGACCACATATATAAATTTTTTTTCAAATAGTAAAAAACCTTTATGTTAACAGAAATACAGGCGACCACTATAGCCCGAATATCAGAAAACTAAGACACAAAGAAGTAGAAATCCTAACCATCTTACCTGCTTGCATATGCACAAATATTATCTACTAGTGGAAGGTTCTTCAAAGCTGCTTCAACTTTGCCAAGGGAGACATATTCTCCAGCCTGGAGTTTCACAAGATCTTTTTTACGATCTGTTGATGAAGGTAAACATTATATGTCATTTACAAAATGAAACGTTACTGGCTTGATTCTATTCTGTGATTGACAGACACATACAAAGGGTATAATTATGTTTGGTTTTTAAAACAAGACGACATGCACCAGATAAATTTATGTCACATTCCTGATCTGTGCCATGCCAAATCTGCCAACTTAACAGATTTTACCAAACACAGTCCACATTTAATTGCACAAAGCCATTTCCCCTTGTAATGGGTGTTCATTTACCATGCGTTTCATTTAAGGAGATCTTTTGGTCAAAAAGATAACTACAATGAATACTGTGACAAAAAACTGAGAAAAGCAGGCTTGTGTTGAGATTTACAGGCTTCAAGTTGGCTGGTTTATATACATACACAGCTTTTTGTGCCATTTTATTTTTGCAATTTAGATTTTAACTGCAACTGCCCATGGGCAATAATTCCCAAGGGTTTACCAAGGCAGCCTGGGGATGGTCCCTTCACTGATCATTCTCTTGGGAAGCCAAGATAGCCAACTTCCTTGCTAGGTATTATCCTGATGACTACTTTGCATTGGTCTAAATTGAACTTAGAATGTGGCCCATAAAATAAAACAAACAAAAAGTGTCTCTATATCAGTCATCTTCATTTTAAAATTCTTAAATTGCTACCACAGTATCTCCAAGATTAATCAATACCCTAAAGCGCCAGCTAACAACAGTATAGGTGCTGTACACTTTATAAACCCAGGCTGTTTATTTAGATGCTTGAATATGGATTTAGGAACCCAACTTAAAAGCACCTGTTTTTTTAAATTTTGATCCGACTATATTCCTCTTCTGGTGTCTTTACTAAAATCAAAATAGCAGAAAAGACAAAGAAACGTACTTTATATTTACTGACAGCATACTGCTAAACACATACAGGCTACATATACATATTCAAATGATCTAGAAAAATTCTCATGGGTCTGTTTTCCTGGTAGAAAAATTTACCTGGAGATGCCTGAACAGACAGTCAAACGCTCAGCCCTGAAGTGCAGAGTCTGCAATGCTGACACTGCACAGTTAGGAGGACCCTGTGTACACATTTCAGACTGCTCTGCAGTTTCCCTCAGTCTGCCTAGAGACAGACTCACAGCAGCACCCAGAGCAGCCCTAATTGGCTGATGCAGGGTCAGCATGCCTCACCCTAATGGTGTAATGTGCGGATTGTGAAAAGGGTGTATTCTACTTCCTGCTTGGCTGGGGCAATAGCCTAGTGAGTGACAGAGTGTCTCTCTGGGAAGACTGAAACAAAGCACTCTGGGATGCTGAAGGACTGTGCTGTGGCTTCTCTCAAAAGAGAGCATGTACAGACATTGGCTCTCTCAGGGGAAACCATCCCAGGAGAAATTTAACTTTGATTGTTTCTGGGTTATTTTTCTCCTGGAGCAGCCACTTGACTTCCACAGCTAAATCACTATTAAGATTCTCAGGGTGCGTCAACATGTTTATTAATGTGCTGTAGTTACTGTGCATTTAAATTTGGTACTTGCTTAATAAAATACTAGCTAAATGCGCAGTATCTACAGTTAGTGCCGGCACACAGTTTTTCTGTGACACTTACTGTGCAGTAGCCTAATACTACTGCACAGTAGCATATTAGCACAGTTTTTGCCTGGCACACTACTGCGCAGCATTATTAGGCTACTGTGCATTAAGCATCTCATGTAGATGCTCCCTAAAAGAATGAAAAAAGTACTCCATGTTAAACTTTCACATTTCAAATTAAGTTTGCTGTGGTTGAGAAATTATCATATTCCTTTGATACATGCAAATTTGGAATCAAACCCTGCACCAATTTCTCCATTACTTGAGCATGTGGTTAACAAAAACACTACAAAATACTTTCTTTAACTACACATTCACCTAACCTGTTAATTTTGAAGAAATTAAACACATTCTCCAATAACTCACCAATGATTTTTAGACAGCCATCTGCATGAAACTCTCCAATGTCTCCTGTATGGAGCCACCTCTGCCCATCCTCATCCACAAAGAAATCTTTTTTGGTTCTTGCATCATTTTTGTAGTAGCCCATAGTCACATTTTGGCCTCCAATAAGAATTTCACCTCTAGGATATGGTTTATCAGTATTGTAGTATCCACCTAAAAATACAGGCCATTTTTTTTAAACATGATGTTAACGTAATTTAAAAAAACTGAAGTTAAAAAAACTGGGCAATAAAGTTGTTCCAAAGGAAGAATATACCATTTTATTAAAATGTTGTCTAGATGTGTACTATATATAGAATCATTTCAATAAAAATATCATGTATTTACCCAAATTTGATTTTATATAGCAGATCCTTAATTAGAGAATAATCTTTTGGTATACCATTCAAAACAAATTTCCAAACAGTTTAATTGGAGCAAAAGTGGATCAAACCACTTGCAGCGTTCAGTTTAGACAGAGGTGTGAAACTCTCTCATTAAATGGGAGAAATTCAGAGGTAAGTGGAGGACCAATTCACTGTCTATGCATCACATAAATACCATTTCAAGGGATTTAGTAATGCATAAATCTCCAATTAGTCCTAGTAGTAGTAGCTAATACTCCAAACTAGTGAAACAGGTCCACCATCCAAATTAGAAAAGGCTACAAAGATGATCAAAAAAACCCTAATACTTCTGAAGTCTTATTTAACTTATTTGATTCAGCCTGTAACAATCCATTTCCATTCTACTGGTCTGTTTTATAAAATTCCTATTACATTAATATGAAGTTCACTACAATATTTCCTGACAAAAAGAGAAGAAGATGAAGAGACTGTGTATGCAGTATACATTGACAGCCAATGACTACAATATTCTTAAGGAAGCAGACATAGAATCCTGTCTCTGCTTCCAGTTTGGTTATCTTAAAGTAGATGAGAAGATGAATATGTGCATATGCAAGTAAATGTCTACATACATGACATAGTAACATAAAGCTATAATGAGAGCTGTTTAAAATATCAAAGTTATATTGATAATCAATGCTGTAAGTATTTATACTACAAGCATACAAGTAGTAAACCCTGAACACAGCTCAATCTTTCTCCTCCCCACCCCCAACATACATTTTCAGGTTAAATTTAGTAATAACACCTTTTTTCTCCCCAAATACAGGTCATTAACTACAGACAGTTCTTGAACTGTTAGTGCCCTTGGCAAAATCTCACACGACACTCAGATCACCAAGAAAGGACCCAAATGTTTAAATGCTCTAAAAGTACTAAAATACAAAAGCACCCTCCATACCAAAAACAGTGTTGCCTAAGGCTCAGCGTATTCTATTCAACCTACAATTCCATGTTAATACATATCAAAGCATATTTTAGTTGACCAGAAACTGTTCACAGGTTTAAATACAGTCCCTTTTTAATGGCCAGATTTGAACTGCAGTTTTGGATTCGCACTTTATGTAGCATGTTGGGCGAAATCCTTGATCCCAACAGCTGTAACTTAAAATGTTAACAATCTAATTTGTCCTGATTTTTGAGGGATGTGGGGAAGGGGAAAGCACGTGATTGTATAGAAATCCACTAGGGGTGTATCAATAGAGATTTTGGGGGCCCATACCAGTAGCCAATATTCAAGGAAGCATACTGGTCGATACTGATCTGATTTCTGATACAGCTGCCTCCAGCTGGTAAGTCCAGTGTGGTGAAAGAGGAGGGGGGAAGGAAGGGGCGTGGGGTGGAAGATCAACACCCCCTGCAGTAAGGGAGGGGGCAGAGGCAGGCACCACAGCTTGGGGGGAGGAGGGGAGGCGGCTCCTGCTGCTACTTGCACCTCAGAAGGGTGGGGGGGCGTGTGCTCCCTGGATCTACACGGGGCTAGGCGGGTTACAGCCAGGACTGCATGGGGCTTTTCTCAGCGAGGGCTGGGCTTGGAGTGGGTGCCGGCAGTGCTGGGAGGATGCTGTATCCACACCATATTTTGTCACAGCTGTGCTCCCAGACCACTGCCGCCAGCCACCTGGCACAACCAGGCTCTTCCCAGCATGTAGGTAGAAACAGGGCATTGAGCCGGGGCTGCGCCAGGGGACTGATGATGTTGGTGAAATTTGGGGTGGATGCAGTATCCTTCAAGCCCAGCCCCTGCCAAAAAGAGCCCTGTCACAGCCCCGGCTGCAGTCTACCCTGCCCCGCGCGTATCTAGGGGGCACATGCCCCGTGCCCTCCCAGGG